CCCCAAAACCCCAAAACCCCAAAACCCCAAAACCCCATAATACAAGAATTCATATATATTGCATTATGATAGAGGCAAACGAATTAATTAAGTTTTAAAAATGAAATAAATCAGGCAACAGTTAAGTAGTCACCTTTCTCGATAAAAAACTAGTTCATTAGGCAATTATAATACCAATACCAAATCCGGGACTAAAGGGAGGAAAGATATTGAGGTTGTCTAGGTTAGTCTATTCTCCCCGAAGAATGACTTGAATGGTTAAAACAGCATTTCAAAGCAAAGGTAAGCAAGTAAAGTGTCTAAAGGTAAGAGTGATCTTCACAAGAAACAAAACTCGATATCAAATCATAAACGAGAATAATCTCTTGGAAAATGTAGAGAAGACATAAGTCAAAATTTGAACGAAACTTTTGGAAACACAGATAAATCTTGTTAATCAACTACGAATAAAAGTATAACAATGAATACGAGTGTGCTATCTGGAAGTACTAATGGTTATAATGCCTCTAAAAAGAGTTATGCAAGATTATAAGGATAATAGATGTTTTTATCACCCTAAAATAAAACTTATTAGTCCAAGCTATCAAATTTAATATAAAATGAGCTAATTGCTGTAAACATGAGAAATTTGAAGCATTTTTAAGATACAGAGATTAGTAAAGACAATTTAAAAACAGAAAAGTCTCTAGATCACTTTAGATTAAGTGAGTAAGACAATCGAACATTTTAGTAATAAAATAGAATTGTTGAGACCCCTTAGCTCTCATCAACTTAGACTCATTAGAAAACGCTGAGCACTTACGATTTCAATAAGTAAAGATTATCTTAATCAAGTTCAAAGTGCTCTTCAGTCAAAGCAAAATCTATTCATGTTAAAGCCTAAAGTAATATCCCTAAAAATCTAGTTGACTCGTTTTAATATGCTGATGTACTTCTCTCTGGTACAGAGGAATTTGAAGGAGATACAATAAAGGGTTACAATCAAGAGATAAATAACATCATTAAAGAAATTAATGAGTCCTCAACTAAACTTGGAAAACGTAAAGGCAAAGACTACTTGACTAATCCAAGAAACAGTTAGTAGAATATTTAACTGTGTCCTTATCAAGACATCGATTTATCTTCAAATTGCAGCGATTTTCAAACTAGCCTTCATACTCTGAGAGATAATTTCATTCCACATTTACTCTCAAATATAAATGAGAAAAAATAAGAGGAAAATGGTGGCTAGTTGATGGATAACAACAAGAGAATATTCAGCAAAAGGGGTTCATAAGCCACTTCAGCTACTTATAGAAGTGGCTCTAGGGATAAAGATGAAACTAGAAGTAAGATTAGCCTGTTTGTTTAGTAAGATCCAGCCATAATGAAAAAATGCAGATCTCCAAACAGGTCAGATACTATGGCTTAAATTATAGAAAAAATGTACCAGGATCAGGCTCTACTTTTGCAATCTGAAACTGTGCAAATAAACAAGATATAAAAGCAAAGATAGTAAAATCAAAGAAAACTGAAAGAAAATTAGCAAGAAATCACAAATCTTCTAACTGTCTAAAAGACATTAGTGTAAAAAATAGATATATAAGAGCATAAAAACTTTTAGCTTCAGGAATATTTAAATAATTTAAGACCTCAAATACTCTAATTTAAGTAGAATCTGGAGGAAACTAAGTAAAAAGTAGATAAAGATATGTATGATCTGACCTTGAAGCGGTAAAGAATAAGGACTTATGTATAATCTCTGCAAAGAGATAATATGTAGCAAAGAGAGGATTTTGATCTTTTGATTGATGAGGAAAATGAAAAGATCAAAATAGCCATGAGCGTTTGTGAAGAATCTATGATGGTTAAGAAAAGACTTGAATAGTAATTAAGAAGAGCTCATGTGTCAGAGAAGGAGAAAGAGAGAGATTTAAGTTAAAAGAGAGCTAGACTATAAAAATAAATAAATACTGCTATGATTTGCGCGCAAGTAGACTTGTCGAGAGTTGGAGACAGAAGTTAAAATGAGGGTTTAAATACTAGTAGCAATAAGAGATTGACACCAAGTAAAAGCAATAAAAGTAATTTAAGTGGTTATCATAGAAAAGAACTTTCTAATTTGAGTCCATCAAGATCCTTTGATAGTGGAAATAGTTATGAAGGCTTTAGTGGGACAAGTGCTATGTACAATAATAGAGGAGGGTATGAAACATGTAAAGCAGCTTCTAAGAAAATTAATTTGTGATATTTTACTTTTAAACCTATACTTTTTACTTATATTATCTTAAATATGTCTAATGGGGTTTTGGGGTTTTGGGGTTTTGGGG